AATGTAACTGAAATTAACTGACATTAAATGAAAACAGAAAATATAAAATCTGATTCAAAATATTAACAAATAGTTTTTATATTTGTTTGTTTGTCTGTTTGTTTGTTTGTTTGTTTTGAAAAGTTCAATTGTCAAATGGTTTTATATTTATTCATATTTGTATTTCATTAATTCATTCATTCATGTTTGTACTTTTGTTATTTTGATTTTAAAAGTTCAGACAGGTTTGTTATTTCATTTAAAAACTAATAATAGTATATAAATTATTCTAAACACTCTCAGACAATATATTTCAAATTTTTGTTTAGTTTAAGTTGAAGTACTACAATAGCTGCAACTTAATAAAACTGTATACATATATTTAAAAAAATTAAAAAGGCAGAAGCAAACAAAATTTAAAAAAATTTAACAAATGAAATGGCATTAAATGAAAACAGAAAATATAAAATCTGATTTAAAATATTAACAAATGGTTTTTATATTTGTTTGTTTGTTTGTTTTGCTTTGAAAAGTTCAATTGTCAAATGGTTTTATATTTATTCATATTTGTATGTCATTCATTCATTCATGTTTGTACTTTTGTTATTTTGATTTTAAAAGTTCAGACAGGTTTGTTATTTCATTTAAAAACTAATAATAGTATATCAGTTCCCTTTCAGTTGGTCGCTCTCAACGTCACGTCGGATGACCGACGAATTGGGATCTCGCTTAGAGAGACCAATCGGTGTCGGGCTCGAGTGGAATCTTCCACCGTGTCCCGAACCCTGAAGGTTGGATGATTGGTTTCTCGGGGTGGATCGCGCTGGTTCTCAGGGCCCCACCCCAGTGCCAAACACTCTCAGAAAAAAAAAATATCGGAACCTTTCAGAAGGTACTAATATGTACACTTTAAAGGGTTAGTTCACCCAAAAATGAAGATTTGCCACTGTGCATCTTTTCTTTCCTTTTGATAATTTTTGCACAAAAAAGCAAAATTGAAGTTTATTTAAAACACTACCCCAAGTAGCACAAGTCTCTAGTTCTAGTGCTTACTGTACGTAATATTCACTAAGCTTAAAGGGTTAGTTCACCCAAAAAGGAAAATTATGTCATTAATTAGTCACCCTCATGTCGTTCTAAACCCATAAGACCTCCATTCATCTTAGGAACACAAATTAAGATATTTTTGATGAATTCTGACAGCTCTCTGTCCCTCCCATAGACATCAATGTAATTACCACGATCAAGGTCCATAAACGTAGCAAGGAGATATGTAAAATAATCCATGTGACATCAGGGGTTTAACCGTAATTTTACGAAACTACGAGAATACTTTTTGTACGCAATTCGTCTCCTCCACATCACCCTGGTGCCATTTTGGAAAATATCCACTGAACGCAAACAGTGTATGCTATTCTGTGTCAGCTGCGTCACGCGGATGCATTTTCTACGTTGTTTACGCTTTGATTTGAACTAAAACAACGTATCCGCGTGACGCAGCTGACACAGAACAGCATATGCTGTTTACGTTCAGTGGATATTTTCCAAAATGTCACCAGGGTGACGCCAGGGTGACACCAGGGAGGAGATGAATTGTTGAATTCGGCCTGAAAAGTATTCTCGTAGCTTCGTAAATAGCTTCTACATTATCCTTGCTACGTTTCTGGACCTTGATCGTGGTAATTACATTGCTGTCTATGGGAGGGTCAGGGAGCTCTCAGAATTCATCAAAAATATCTTAATCTGTGTTCCGAAAATGAATGGCGGTCTTACGGTTTAGAACGACATTAGGGTGAGTAATTAATGATAGAATTTTCATTTTTGGGTGAACTAACCCTTTAAAGATACTGATATGCACCCTTTAGGGGTAAATAAGGTACAAAGGTGTTTTTTTTTGTGTGTGTGTGTGTGTGTGTGTGTGTGTGTGTGTGTGTGTGTGTGTGTGAAATAACTCTGGTTTGATCTGGTTTTCTTGCATCAGAACACTCACTTGTAGTGCAGATTGAGTATAATGACTTTCCTTTTTGACCTTTTGATGTCACCAAACCCTCTTGACTAAAGTGCTAATGAGTTTCCTAATAAATATTGTAATTTTATGTGCAACCCTGAGGAAAAGATCAGCATATGTTGTTTTGGATGCTGATCCCTGGCATGGGATGCTTATGTACTCATCAGGCATAACTACAGTAGCTTGACCAACCAGACTACGGTTTCACTAGAAAAAAAAGGGAAAGAAATCTATTTTTGTAATCTCTTTTGACTTGGGCCACTTAGCAACCACTAAACACCCTAGCAACACACAGCAATGAAATTGTATTGTGGTGGGCAGTTTTGCACAAGCAGTAAGAAAGTTCAATTGTGTGATCGTTCTCTTGGGTATTTTTGGAACAGTGCAAGATATGCTGGTCTGTCCCTAGTGCATTCAGCAGCCTTTGCCCTGCTCTCGCTGTGACAGGTGACAATGGTCAACCTCACTTGCCCTGCATGTTAATATTGTCGCCTGCAGTTACTCGTCTAATGTTATAACCTGCCCACGGACAGCTAATCCTGAGCCTGTCAACCCGACACTCTTCACATGAGCACACAACGCTGCAGTCATCATCATTTCTTTGAGTGTTTATTTTGGTTCTTCATTATCATAAAGGAAATGAAACAAAACAAGTATTTAAAAAAGATTCGGGATGATTTTAGTCAATAACTGAGAAAACCGACGGTTATTTATGGTCTACGCAAAACCACTTTTCACTACAATAATGACAAATCAATATTTTCTCTCTGTTTGCACTTCATAAATTAAAGTGAAAAATGAATCAGTCAATTATAGGGATGCAAACAGCCCACTGAATTCCTGTTTAGAGCCCGACTCAAACACCCAGCTTGTTTATTCATGAGTCTGTAATCTGTTCTTTAATGGCGTGTGTGTATTGACTGCTTGTCACAGTCGAAGCCCTCTATCAGAGGAAGCTGCAGGCAACCGACGCTATTGTTTTCAAGCAAATATAAAGTAGGATTGGATTGTCTGAAAACACTTCCATTTTGTAAAGAGTGATAGTTCCTGCAGTTCCTCCTTGGCTGAACATCCCTCAAATCTGTACATCCACAAATAAATGCACAAGACACAAATAAAATCTAACATTCTCAAAATATTTGGCCTGTCTGAGCCAATTTTCTGTGGCTGTCATGATGTAATCAGAGTAGAAGAAAAGCTTTCAACATTGATAATAATAAGAAATGTTTCTACTGAAAAATCAGCTTTGTCATCACAGGAATAAATTACATTTTAAATTATATTAAAATAGAAAACACGTTTTAAATTGCAATAATATTTTACAATTATTTATTTATTTTATTTTATTGTTAATTCTTTCATTTATTTATTTAGTAATTTATTTATTTTTTTTTTTTTTATGATTATATTATGCACACATTTCCTTGCTTTTATCAAGCAGGTTGGAATGTTTTAGATTGAAAAGAAGCAACTAAACCACAAAGCACCACAGAATCCATGAAATCTATTGGTTTATTTTATTTCTTTGTTTTATACTATCATTTATTTACTTATTTATTTATTTGTTTATTTATCTGTTCTTTAAAAATGTTTTTATGCAAAATGTATATTTATTTATTTATATATTTATTTATTTATTTATTTATTTAATGTGGATTAGTGGATTGCCACTGAACTGGTTCCTGGATTGACTTTGGACTTAAATTGTAAATTTGTACATTTTTTTACTAAAAAAACAATAGCAATATTCTCTATAATGGCATCATCATATCATCATACTGTGGCACAATTCCTCAAAACATACAAATAATTTATTTGACTCTAAATGTAAAAACATATTTTTTGATGGCTGAAAAAACAATAAAAAAGCTCAGTTCTCTAGATCAATATGTGTGACGACCGCATTCTGCACCAAAATGCCAGAAAAAAATATTTTAAAATGTTTGCCAGAAACCAGTGTGACCAAAAGGCTTTTTATTGCTTTATTTGAAGTCATTGCTTTTAGAATTAACCTTTTTTTTTTTTGCCATTGTGTTTCATGGACAAAAGTGAAAAATGAGTTTGTTACCCTGAGGTAACATTGTTCATAAACAAGTGAAATATTTAACTGAGAGTAGACACAAACATTTATTTAAAATCAAGAGGATTGTCCAGACCTATCATTTGATGACTATTCTATGGGTGTGTTTGTGTCTGTGTGTGTTGTGGAACTGCATGTGTGTGTCATTGTTGAGGTGTGTGTGATTTAATGGGTGCAGACTACGGTTAAGTTCACCAGTACTTCAAGCTGTTGTTATCATTTGAATGCTAGTGTAAGGCGTACAGAAACTGACCTTGGCAGAGAAACGATTTTACAGACAGGAGCGCCTACCTGTTTTATTTTAACAAGCCGTACAGTCACTGCTGCATATGATTGTTTTGAAACAAGATCAATCCAAGAATGAAGGGTAGATATGAACCTTCGGTGTGTAAATGCGATATTTATTTACACGTATGTCTTTGACAGACATTTTAATAATAAATAAATAAATAAAATTATAAGAAATGTAAAATTATGTGATGATCACCTAAGTAAGTGATGTTGCAAACAAGTTTTGAACTTATGCATGTATTTAAGGAAAAGCAATAATAATAATAATAATAATAATAATAATAATAATAATAATAATGCATCATGTTGCTGTTACAACAATATGATGCAAGAAACCGATGTTTAATAATAGTAACTATTACTATTATTGTTCTTGTTGTTGTTGTTGTTGTTATTGTTGTTGTTGTTGTTGTTATTGTTATTATTATTATTATTATTATTATTATTATTATTATTATTATCGTATATTTTTTATATAACAATGACAACAATAATAATAATAAATTACTTTTTTAAACATTGGTTTCTGTCATCATGTTGATAAAGCACTGTAACGTGGTTGCTTCTGGCTTATTGCTTTTATAGCACAAATGATGTGCATAATGTCTGCCGTATGTTTATGTGTATGTGTATGTTTTGCAGGAATCATCAGAACAGCGCTGGCAGACATGGATCGAGAGGCGAGAGAACATTACTCAGTGGTGATTCAAGCCAAAGACATGGCGGGGCAGGTGGGAGGGCTGTCGGGCTCCACCACAGTCAACATCACGCTGACCGACGTCAACGACAACCCACCCAAGTTCCCTCAGAGTGAGTGATGGGAAACCAGTGTGAAAACAAAATCAAGTGGCAACATATTGCTGTAAATGGACATCAGCAGATGTTGGTTCTGCTCCAAGACCTAGAGAACAACCTAGTGAGGCAGTATTTGTAATCTGTTTCTATGTCAGTTAAGATGCTGCCTTAGAAGGCTGCAACCTTTGAATGCTGTAGGCAGCTAACTAGCTGTTGATGAACTTCATGATACGTCCACCTGCTAGATCAACACCAGCATAAACCAGTCTGCAAATTCATGCTGGTCTTTTACTGAAGGTCTTTGGTTGTTGTTGTTTTTTTAAGATAAAGCGAATCTGTGAGGCATTGAATGACTTCTTGATTATTATGCTTTAGATCTTGTCCAAAATAGCTGATCCAAAATAGCTTGACCTCGCTTTTCTACAATTCTTTATCTGCTGCATAAACACTCATTACTGTTTGAAGGTGAACCATACAGTATGCTGTTGTAACACACTTTTTCTCTCTCTCAAAGTAGGTTCTCACGCGTTTTCAAGATATTCATTAGAAAAGAGTACCTTTTCTCGAGGGCTTCTTATGGATACTACATAATTAGATGGAAGAGATGGAAATATACCTTACATTAGATGCAGTCTCGCTATCAGATGACTCATCATATAAATTGTGCATTGCGGTTAAAATTTTTTACCATTAATTAGCATGAAGAGAATAGAGGCAGGACCAGCATGTTATATTGTGTAAGCATCCAATTATGAGACCTTGCATCTTGAGTTTTTGTAGTCTTATTTTTATCCACAGAAACAGAGCACCACAGCAGGGTTCTGGAAATAAAATCACATTAATTTCCTCCCTAGAAAAAAAAAATGTATGTTTAAGGATAATGTAGAAGCTATAAACTCTAAGATTAAGCGATGGAATGGTTCTGTAGATGCCACAAGTCTTTAAATGAGTCCACTTCATAAAATCTTAGCTTGTTTACCAAATTCTCTGTGAATAGCTACACTACCCATAATCCTGAAGATCCACCAATCACAGAAGTGACTGTTACATGAAAATGTAATCAAGCATTGCAAATGATGTAACTGAGTCTCCCTACCCTGTCAAACTACTTGTTTATTTGTATCCATTGTATTAATTTACTGCATTTCCATTTTCAGGTAACAGCAACGTGGATCTTCAGGATTATGTGTAGTGTAGCTATTCACAGAGAATTTGGTAAACAAGCTAAGATTTAATGAAGTGTACTCATTTAAAGACTTGTGGCATCTACAGAACCATTCCATCGCTTATATATAACTTATTTATTTATTTATTAAGTCAAAGTCTGTCAGGATTTATTAGTTGTTTGTATTTTAAAATAAAAATGTAATAAACATATAGTATAGAAATATATATATTGTGGCGAGTATCCCGAGTCCAGATTAGCGTCGCCCTGGAAACGCCGCTGCCACACTGATCACCGACGCACAACACCTGTGCGCGATGAGTGGCGCACCTGGAGCTCGTTCCCGCTGGCCTTAAAAGCCAGGAGAAGAGACACCAGCGGAAAGGCACCCCGGAGCTCCAGGCGACATTAATGCTTGTTTCTCCTTGTTCACAGACTCCGAAGGCACCCTGGGAGAGGGATCTGCACCACGGCACTTCACCCCACGAGCACCACGCTGAGACGGACACCGAGCACCATTCCTCAGAGAACGTGTGATCAGTGTGTGGGAAATAAATCACCCACCGGGGCTCTTTCGATCAGTACCGAGTCTGTGTTCTCATTCACCCCGTGACATATGGTGGAGAATGCGGGCATTACAGGTGAATTGAGAAACAGACTGGTACCGCCAGGTGGCTATAACGATCTCTGTGCTTCTTCTAGGAGAAACCGCTCTCTTCCCCCGGAGATATGGAAGAGGTTATCCGCCGCCTAACGGAGCTCTCGGCCCGCCAACAGCAGTTTACCGAGCGACTGGCCGCCCGGCATGAATATACTGACCGGGTCGTGGAACAGCTGCAGGCCAGCGTGGCGGGGCGCCTGCCCCTCCCGGAAGCGCCGGTCAAAGCGCACCAATACCTCGTCCGGTTGACCGAGAACGACGACATCGAGGCTTACCTCCACACGTTTGAGGTTATTGCGGCCCGGGAGGGGTGGGTCCAGGAAGAGTGGGCTCGCATCATCGCCCCCTTCCTCACCGGAGAAGCGCAGCGGGCCTATTATGCCCTGAGGGCACCCCGGAATGAACAGTATGACGAGCTTCACCCCACGAGCACCACGCTGAGACGGACACCGAGCGCCATTCCTCAGAGCACGTGTGATCAGTGTGTGGGAAATAAATCACCCTCCGGGGCTCTTTCGATCAGTACCGAGTCTGTGTTCTCATTCACCCCGCGACAATATATAATTTTTTTTTTTTATAAAAAATATAAATATTACAATATATATATTTAAAAATGTGTTGCATATACATAACACATTGCTTATACATAACATATTACATATACATAAAACATTGCTTGCTGTAAGGTGACCTTGGGTGTTTAGAAAGGCGCCATTATAGTAAATGCAATATTATTATTATTATTATTATTACTATTATCATTTCTCATTCAGTTTTTTTTTTTTCTGATTTTTAAATGCTTTTTCTTCAAATCAAAGTTTTCGTCTCTGAGCTTTTGAAATCCCCAGAATACTTTGTAACAATAGCTTCCGAAAAGTGGACCATGGCTGTTGCGCTCCATTGCATCCAGCTTTTTTTTAATCAGGTGGTGTGGGACTGTAGGTGTGGCTGATTTTAGGGTCTGGCAGCCGTATTGAAATCCTTCTAGACTAGCTCAATGTGGCGGAGGCACAGCCGGATAGAGGCATCATGATATCTATGCTTCAAAAATACCATCCAGCCAATCGAACAAACCACCATGCGGGCTTTTGTGTGTGTCTGCAGAGAATTACCAGGTGTTTGTCCCAGAGTCGGCACAGGTGGGGAAACCAGTGGGGAAGATGAAAGCCAGTGATGAGGACATCGGAATCAATGCAGAGATCAAATACAGCATCCTGAACCCCGAGGGGGCCGGAATGTTCTCCATCTCCACAGACAAAGATACTAGAGAGGGTGTGATCACGCTGAGAAAGGTATTGCTGTCATTTCTATTGGTGTTTGCCAAGGCAAGCATCACTACTATTATTGCTTGTTCTAGGGTTAGAGGCTTTCCTGAACCCTTAATAATAAGCGGCTGTTTTTTCAACTATGGGTACTTTTGGTCTTGTGGACTCTTAGAAAATCATTTTGGTCAACACTTTGTAACACTAACAGTGTTAAACAGTGAATATACATGCATCACAGGATATCATAATTTCTGTCTGAAAGTAATGGACATTTCCACCACAGTGACATTTCTGCAACATCAGTTTACAATTGAAATTGTTAAAAAAAAAAATGTTTAATAGGGTTCAGCAGTGGACATTTTACATACACACTTATGCTCATCAAGGCATTTATTTGATCGAAAATACAGTAAAAATTGTGTAATTATATTACAATTTAAAATAACTGTTTTCCATTTGAATACATTTTAAAATGTAATTTATTTATGTGATGCAAAGCTGAATTGTTCTTCAGCCGAATATCCTTCAGAAATTATTCTAATATGCTGATTTGCTGCTCAACATTTATGATTATTATCAGTGTTAAAAACAGTTGTGATGCTTTATATTTTTGTGGAAACATTTATTTTATTTGATTTTATAATTTAATAGTTAGCATTTACATACATATGTAAGGTTTACTAAATTTACAATTAAATTAAATACTTCATGTTTGTATAATATATAATTTAATGATGTCTCCTTGGAAACAACATACAATATTTTTTTAACACAATTTTTGATTGCATTGAAAATTGTCAAACTGAGAAATATTTGTGAGGATGATTTATTAAAAAAAATATATAATAATTTTCCCACAGTAAATATTGACATGGTTTATGGTTATTTTGCTGTTTATGTTTTCAAAGGATATTTGAAAAACATATATAATTTTATGATTTTCATTTTTTTAAATCAAACATAAAAGCATTTGATTAAAAATACATATCAAAAATAAATGAAGAAGTCTTGATAAAAAGTTTCCAAGCCCGTTTCTCTGTGACCTTAACAACAAAAAGAAAAATATCTAAAAAAAAAACGGCCCCTGGGAAATTAAAGTTCGTGTAGTAGTTAAACTTTAGGTCTTAACTTGTCATGTGTTATTTGTGCTGCTGCTGCAGATATGAATGATGTCTCAAATGTTGTAGTTTATTGAGGAGAGATGTGCTTACTTTTCTCAGTAATCAAACTTTCACCAGGCTTAGGATAAAATGGGCCAGAAAATCTTAGACTTGCCCTGGAAGAGGACATGAGTCGTATCTGGAGAGTACAAAATCTAGCTTATATTATTATTGTAGTGAATATCTCAGAAGCCTTAAACACTTGATTTATCCTGCAGAGATGACAAACAAACAGCAAAAATACAAAAGGGCGAAAAAGCTACAGTCATGCACAAAACCTCATTAACAAGTTCAAAACCCTGAATAACCTCTGCATTGTGAAATGTTTTCAGTTTTTCACACTTTTCACTTGAGTGTTGCTTGTAGACCTTCAACAAAAGAACAAAACAGGATGGCATAATTATCCAAGTCAAGATGTTGTCAAAATAGCGTAATATCTGAAGCTGCACACACTGAAATCACTGACAGATATATATATAATCTGTCTAGCCAGAATGGGTCAAGCAGGCGTCTGGCGCTCTTCGGGGCTCAGATGCTCATTAATGGTTTATTTTCTGTATTCTGAGCTTCTTCAATTCCCCACTCAGTCCCGGGGGTCAGGAAAGCTGTGAATTCAGTGAATACTGAGTTTTCCAAAAGCCAGTCTTGTAAATAAATGCCTGCCAGATCTGTCCGGCGAGACAGCGGTGAAGGTCGGGCAGGTTTCATGCTGTTTACAGATGTGACCCCATCTAGAGAGCGATTTAACTTCTGTACTCCGGAAGAAAAAGACTGACCTCAATATGATCTCAGCTCATAACATTTTGGAGTACTTGAAACCAATAGAAGCCACCAAGAAAGTGGCTAAAACTGACTGACTGAAAGCAAAGTATATGTATTATGTATTTTTGTAACAGTGTAATTTTAGTATCATTGATATATATATACTATATATACTGTATATATATATATATAAAAATGTTGTAAAGAAGTTATAGTTATTGTAAATGTTTTACTGTGTGATGTATTATTTGATGGTGTATTAGTACCACTGGTTTTCATTATGTGCAGTTTGGAAATACTTATGGGATGTGGCAACAAGCTCATTACACCCAAGTTAAGTGAAGGTCAGGAACTGGATGGCAGCTTGATTTTAAAGGTGTTCAAGTTGAAGGCCTTATACGTAAAGCCCTCAAGACCACTACTCTTGGTAAGACTTTATATTTATAATTTTTTTTTTTTTTTAAGTTTAATTATTTTAGTTTGGAAGCCCGTTTCTGCCACTGAATGAAAAATAAACAAAGTTGTTGCAACTTTTTATCTCACAATTCTGACTTTTTTTCACAGAATTGTGAGATACAAACTTGCAATTGCGAGTTATAAAGTGAGAATTGCGAGATATAAACTGACAATTCTGACTTTTTTTCTCAGAATTGCGTGATATAAACTCACAACTGACTTTTTTCACGTAATTGCGAGTTATATAGTCAGACTTGTGTGATATAAACTCGCAATTGCGAGTTAAAGTTCAATTTTGAGGGTGGGAAAAAGACTGATATGTTCTCAGAATTGCGAGTTTCTATCTCACAATTATAACTTTTTAACTTGCAATTGCGAGTTTATATCACACAATTCTGAGAAAAAAAAGTCAAAATTGCAAGTTTGCATCACGCAATTATGAGAAAAAAGTCAGAGTTGTGAGATAAAGTAAATAAATGCCTGCCAGATCTGTCCGGCGAGACAGCGGTGAAGGTCGGGCAGGTTTCATGCTGTTTACAGATGTGACCCCATCTAGAGAGCGATTTAACTTCTGTACTCCGGAAGAAAAAGACTGACCTCAATATGATCTCAGCTCATAACATTTTGGAGTACTTGAAACCAATAGAAGCCACCAAGAAAGTGGCTAAAACTGACTGACTGAAAGCAAAGTATATGTATTATGTATTTTTGTAACAGTGTAATTTTAGTATCATTGATATATATATACTATATATACTGTATATATATATAAAAATTGCAAGTTTGCATCACGCAATTATGAGAAAAAAGTCAGAGTTGTGAGATAAAAAGTCACAATTACCTTTTTAATTTTTTATTCAGTGGCGGAAACGGCTTCCATATTTTAGTACTACAACTTAAACTAAATGAAAATGAGAAATGTTTCCCTGTCAACTAGCAGGGCAACATATACCCACTGTATACAGTATACCCACTGTATATATTATTTTATATTATTTAAGGTAATGCTTATTTTTAAAATATTTAAAAATATTAAAAAAAAAAAAATAAATGTTTATAGTTTTAGTTAACAATAATAACCCTGATTTGTGATCCAAGTATTTTATTTGTAACAGTGATATTTTAGTATCATTGTTAAACTATAGTTTTTGTTTATAACTTGGATGTTATAGGTTGCACTGAGTAAATACAGCTGGATAAAACAAAAACTGTGTTCGACTTCATTTCAGGCTACAAAGCAACAAAATGTGATTATTTTAAAGGGGGGTGATTCTATTTCTATTCCCTGATTTGTAATCTAGTTAATTTTTCTGTTTTCTCTTTTTAGCCACTGAACTATGAGAAGAAGAAGCATTACAGTCTTCACATCGCTGCAGAGAACACGCACCTGGATCCACACTTCACCTATCTGGGCTCGTTCAAAGACGACGCCACGCTCAAGATTACAGTCGGAGACGTGGATGAGCCGCCAGTTTTCTCAATGGATTATTACATTATGGAGGTGTACGAGAACACCAGGGTAGGAACTGAAGTGGGAGCCGTCACAGCGAGAGACCCAGACAGCAAAAACAGCCCTGTCAGGTTAGAAGACATGATAAACAGCTAAAATAACACTCTCACCCATAATAGAGTACAATCACACATGGGCCAAAATGTCACATTATACCACCAAAGTCAGTTAGACCACTATTGTGAACCATTCCTAGATGCAAGTGCAAAAATGTCTGAGCTCACCTGCTAATGAGATTATTTTTAATTATTTATATATACTTACAATTTATTTTATTATTTATTTTTAAATATTTTTTGTATTTGTTATTTTTATTTTATTGTATCTCTCTACTTAACTACATATTTAGCATGCTATTATATATATAAAGGTGGATATACTAATTTTAATATTGTTTTTTTAAATTTAATTTTAATATAATCATTTTAATATTACTGTTAGCATGTGTGGCTATTTGTGCAATTCATAGTAAGTCACCTGCAGTACACCCACAAAATACAATTTTCTAGAATTTGTACTAGCAAATCACTACTGTTTGTATAGGATTTTATTAAGTCATGGTGTGTATGCACAAATGCAGTGCTTTAGCAAAATAATCTGACATTATTTGTCTCTCTCTCTTCCATGCCCTCCCATTTCTCACATCTCTTTGTAAAGGTCGAATTTAATAGGATGACATTGAGCTGATATGACATACAAGGATCTTTTACTGCTTTGACTCTCTCTCTTTCTCTCTATGGAGGATATTGTTAATTAGAGTAGTTAAGGCACCCCGTGTTAGCATCGTAGTGAAACACTGCTGCCAAAGGCTCAATTACGTCCACACACTCTAATGAAAGAGAGGTGTGAGCAGGCCAGCTCATAAAAACATCATTGCTTTAGTGCTGATATCATGCTGCCTGCCAGAGATTCCGATGGAGAGGATTCAGATTAACTAGAATTCCTGTTTCATCCCACCTGCTAAACACAGCATAACTGATGTGTGTGCTTTCTTTCTTTCTTTCTTTCTTTCTTTCTTTCTTTCTTTCTTTCTTTCTTTCTTTCTTTCTTTCTCTCTTTCTTTCTTACTTTCTTTCTTGTTTATTTAAAGGAGACATATTATGCCCCATTTACAATATGTTATATAAGTCTCTGGTGTCCCCAGAATGTGTCTGTGAAGTTTCAGCTCAAAATACTCCACAGATCATTTATAATATAATTTTGAATGATATTATAATGACACCTATTTTGAGTGGAAGCAGAATGTAATGTCTGATTACTTAATTTTAGGGAATTAATTATTATTAATTCATTCAGGTTTTGAGAGGACTCGAATCTGAAAATTCGAAGTCAACCCGATTAGAACTGATTTTAAATTTTAATAGTTTACACCTTATCAACGGTCGTCCAGCGAGACGTTAATGTCCGTGTATCTTAACAAACTGACTATGTGTATTTTCCTTGGCCACAGGTCAATACAATTATGATAATTTGTAAGCTCCTAGCGAGGTAACGTGATCTTGGCAAGGTTTGACTTTAAAATTATACTTGGTTGGTTGCCGGGTTACGGAGGAGCCTTGAAGTTCGTCTGAGAGAGTCTGCTTTAGCAAGACTTTGCGTTCTCCAGAGTTACGAAGCTTCAACGGAGTAGTTGAGTTCTTAGATGGCCGATCGCCTGATGGTTCAGCTTGTGAGCACAACTTAGAGTGCTCTCCACACAGCGACAAGGCCTTGCTCGGGAAAGCAAGTGGCGAAGAGCCTGCATTCGGGAGAGCAAGCGGCAAAAGCCTTCACTCGAGAGAGTAAACAGCGAGAAGCAATTATTTTATATTAACAATATTCATTTTTTATTCCAAAAATATTTTATTGAAAATTGAGAGAGATAGAATCAGATAGAATAGTCTATGGAAAAGGCAGTCTGGAAATGGCACAAAGGTTATTATTAAATCGTTGCACGCTGTGTGCTGTACTTGACTGATTAATGTTTTAAATGTATATAATTATGCAAATATTCAATATGCATTAACCCTGGGTTTATAAATGCACAGTGATAAAATCTAACTGCCCAGAATTCATTACTAACCAGAAATAATATACTGGATGAAGAGTGTGAAATATTTCAACAAGATAATGTATGTTAAGTGTGAAAAGTTGATAAGAATCATATTATATATAAATGAAAGTTTAGAAAACAAAAGAAAATGAGGAGTCTTAATATGAAAGGCAATGTTGTGCACATCATAGTCTGTAGAACATGGAGAAAATAACGTTAGGATGACATGCAAGCAAACAACAGGAATGAAAAATACAATGTCAGAATGTTCCTTTCACTGGCAGTAAAAGGCATAAAGTGTAAAATCCTCATTGTTATTTCTCTCTCATGTCTCATGCAGTCAAGGACGGTGTACATTTTCTTGTGGTAATGAGATATGACCTGTATGGTTTATTAGCGTCTGCCTGTACTGGTGGTTTGAGGACGTGTTTTCAAGCCATCTTTAAATGAACCTTCACAGTCCGTGCGTGACTGAGAGGCCGTAACACTCACCGTCATGCGAATGCTGCGATCTCATTGGCTGATGTGAGTGAGTGAGATTGTCAGTTTAACACAAATGTTTTTTAGTTTTTTTACATCAGCATTTATCACTGCTATAAATAAATAAATAAAATACATAAGAGAAAATGAGAAAAGTCTCATAAATAATCCCTAGCCTTTTTTTTTTTGTCTGTGTTGAAGGATAACACATTTAAACTATTTTTTTTATTGCATTTCTGTTCCCCCGATTTTAATATGCACTTCCCATAAAAAAAAAAAAAAACAGCATTTCATTCCCATAGAATAATTTATACTGCATCATCTCCATTAGCATGAAAATAAAATGGCATAGAAGTTTGAGAATCAGCATTAGCGTTATGGAAAAATAAGCAAGGTCACTGTTATCTCCTTAGTTTTGTTCCTAACTGTTATAATGATGCGTCTGATCGTTATCATATTTCATGTAAAGCATTTGTCTCATGAGACTTTGCAGGGGAAATGGTTTTTAAAGGCATATTCTTCACAGTAGACAACCTGGTGTTGCATTAACAGGATTTCGGGATGAGCTTTTGTGTTTTGCTCTGAAGATTTTTGTGTTTCTTGTATTTGTCCCTAGTTAGCATGATGGAAGAAGCTACTAAAAACAGAAATAATTTTTAGAGTACTTATGCTGTTTTTCAGCAAGTAGAGGGATTTTGGATGGTGTATTGATATAGTTTCAATCTATTACTAATTATTATTATTATTATTATTATTATTATTAGTTATTTTCCTCATCAAAATATATGGCCGCTTTTTAACTGCCATTAATTGGGAAATGTTTTTTGCCATCTACTAGCTAACCCAACCATGCTAACCAGTAAACCTTGACCCCCACAAAACCAAAACAGCAGAACCACAACTAAAATCTTATGGTTACATAAAATGTTAACACTAATTTTGGCTGCCTTGCACACTCTAGTATTTCTTTTAGAAAATGCAAATGTGGTTAAATTTAAGTTTATTTCAATGTGGAGAATCTGACAGTCCTTCTTTTGAGCATCTTTACCAAGCATTCCACTAGAGGATTTGTTAATCATGTCCAACTAATGCTTCTCACTGCAGTTTTTCTCCTTGCACTTTTCTCCTGTAGTGTTTTTCTTTTCTTTTCTTTCTTTTTATAATCTTTAGGTTGTGTCAGGTCTGTTATCTAAAGCTGTGATTCACTGTTATTTCGTCTGGAATATATACAGTATAAATCTGTGCATATACCCAAAAGCACTCATAAATCTCACTGAAAATGACCTGTTTGCTGTCTGCAAGCTGATTGATCATTTAGGGAAATCATATTAACAAAATTAACTTAAATAGTTTCAAGGCAATGTTAATGCTCAATGCAGTGCACGTTTTGTAATGTAATTCAAACTCAGTTAATTAGAAACTGTAAAAAGTACTCTTTAGTTTTTAGTGCATTATTCTTCAGTATAAATGAACCTCTCATCTTTCCATGAAGTCACAGTGTTTTTCATATTATATATTCCACTCTGTATTTCTACAGTGATCTGTCATCAAGCTGGGTGGCATAGTGTTATGCCATGTGACGTTAGAAATGGTGTCTAGATTTGAGTGTTATAACATTTGAAGCTGTTTTTGCTATCAAATTATTATGTTTAATAATTATTTTTATTTGTTAATTAGTATTATTTATTTGTCCATTTTTGTTTTATTTGTTTATTCGTCTTTTTATTTAGTAAAAAAGATGCCATTTAAACAGATATTTCAAATAGATCATCTTTATGGTATTTTTATGTTAAATTGGAGATTCATTGTGAAAATATTTGATAACTCATGAAAATATTTATGATAAAAAAAACTGATAACAAATTTAAATGTTAGGTATGAATAATCTTGATTAATTAGAGAAAAATTAGATTAGAGAAAAATCATTTCGTTTTTAATTCATTTTTATTAAATTAATTTTATAATGTAATATAATTAATATACATAATATATTTTAAATTAAATTATATATATATATATATATATATATACAGTATATATTTGTATATAATCTGTAAAAACAATTAAATACAATTCAGTATAATTAACTATTTTTGTATATGTACAATTACTGTGGTATAAGCTTTCGGACAATATAATAAAACATTTATATAAAAATAAAAATATGTCCCTTTAGGCTGAGCTTTGTAAAGTCGAGTAGTCCTGCCATAAGTCTCACCACACATGAAGTTTCACAACATGAAGTCATGTATAGAAATACAAGCTTTTGGATAATCATGCACATCCCAGCTGTCTTTGCTAATAATGCCACCATGATGATAATATAGCGAGGTAAAAGACGGAAAGGCTCATGCAGTAATATGCTCTCTCTTCTATATTTAGGTATTTCATCGAGCAGAGAGAAGACAAAGCGGTGTATTTCGATATCGAATCCATCAGTGGAGTCATCAGAACTACTCAGCTCCTGGACCGCGAGGACACGCCCTGGCACAACATCACTGTCATGGCAACAGAGGAAGGTGGGTACCAGAAAGCATGCTGGTTGAGCTTCGCCACTTTAATAACTCGCAAATTAGTCTGCAAAGACAGTCTCGGCAATAAACGCCTCGTTCACTCATGAGAAACGGACTGCCGTTCGCTTTCTCTCTTTGAAAATCGCTCGCCCTCCCGCTGCTGTGAAATCAACTCTGCAGGCCTGTTAATAGTCAAAGATCGCACCTCTAAGCACATAAGGAATAGCTAGCTCATAAATTAAAATTGTGGTTATTTACTCACCCCTCATGTTGTTTCAAACCCATATGACTTTCTTTCTTCTGTAGAAAGAGAAAAATGAAGACTGCTGGTTGTTGTTGTTGTTGTTTTCCCATGCAATTAAAATGAATGGGGCCAAAAGCTTTCAAGCTTCCAAATAGATCCAGAAGCACTGTAAAATATCATTAAAGTGATCTAAATGGCTTGTGTGCTGTGTTCTGCAGCTATACAGTCTGAGTGTAGTTGTAGATGTTGTTCACTCATAAAATTCCCCTCTAGTGAGCTGTTAATTGCTGTATCCAGACCATTGATTTAGTTGAATTTGAGAACCAGTTCAGTCTGATTAATGATTGCATCTTTCAGATCTAGTTTTTTGAACCAGATTCTTTGAAAGATCCACCTTAAAAAAAAAATAAAAATTAATCCACAGGTTGGACATCAGCACTCTTTTGAACATGGTAGATGTGGTAGATTTAAAGCCCCTCCTGTGGTCAAAACTAATTTTTTATGTTGCTAACTGGTGTTTTTAATACGCTTAAAGACAATGTGCCATGTGCAAATCCATCAATCAGCACCATTACTGAGCATTTGCTCCTTAAAAAGTCTAAAAAACAAAAAAACAAACAGTTTAAAACATGTTTCCTAAGTCACAAGCATGTAACCAATCCTGTCAACTTGTGAGGTGGGGTTTTTCATAACATTAGTGAACATTTGCAACATATTATTAGCTGTTTGATAGTGCAGCCAAGCCAAAGGTTAATTATATCGGTAACACTTTACAATAGGGGACACATTCACTATTAAAACTATTAATTAAGAGTTTTCCCTGAACAAACTCCTAATTTGCTGCTTATTAATAGTTAGTCAGGTAGTTGTTAAATTTAGGTGTGGGGTAGGATTATGGGACCTAAAATGTGGTCATGCAGAATAAGGCATTGATATGTGCTTTATAAGTACTAATAAACAGCCAATATGCTAGTAATATCATATGCATGCTAATAAGCAGCTAGTTAATAGTGAGAACTGGTCCATAAAATAAAGTTCTACCATTATATCAATTACCGTTACATGTCTGACATTGTTGAGAGTGATACATAAAATGCATTACCACTCTGATATGTGGACTTGTAGACAACCCTGTATAATTAGCTCATCCTCTTCTTCATCATCAATCAGTTTCTGGTTCAAGCATTATTGGCTGAATTAATCCAATATTGGCACTTGCCATTGTGTAGCGTTTTCTACACTGCACAATGGCAATGGGGTGGATGCGGGGACTAATTTGCATATTCATGTGTCCGCATATACTAAATGAGGTCAGGGTGTAGAGTTATATTGAAGCCATTTTACAAAACCTCTATAAGATTAGAGAACTGTTTCCAGGACTGATGGCATACATTCTTGTTTATAATATTGTATCCATATTAACATTAATGTTTTTGTTTTATTGTAAAAAAAAAAAAAAAAGTATGCCTGCCTTGGTCATTATATGTATTTTCCCTCTGAAATAAAATAAAAAAATAAAGAATATAAAAAGTAAATAAATAACTTTCACTAGAAAAATGTTTAAATATGTAATTTGATTATTAAAGATGAGTTTTAAGCGATTAAATTGGTGACTGCAAGGGGACTTTGTTTTTGTTTTATTGTAGAAATTATGCATGCATTGGTCTTTGTGTGTATTTTCCTTCTGGAATAAAATGAAAAATAAATATATTTTTTTGTGAGAACAAAAAGGTGTATAAATATATAATTTTAATTATTAAAGATGAGTTTTAAGTGATTAAATTAGTGACTGCAGGAGGACTTTATTACCTTACTGTGTGTTCCTCAAAGCTCATCATATGATTTCAGAAAATGTGCAATATAGCTCACAGCTATATTGTGCCTTTATGCCCTTTTTGATGCTTTCTAATTGAATGAAAAATAGCAATCAGCACCATTACGCAGAAGCAGGTAATTCCGGTTTGGAGCAAAATGAGGGTGGGGAAATGATAGCAGAATTAATTTTTTTTTTTTTTTTTTGAGTGAAATACACCTTTAACAAACCCACTCACGCAAGAGAACAAAAACAGGGAAAGATTGGGAGTATATAATCTCCCAGATGATAAAAATCAGAGGCAGTAATGTAAATGGAGCCATCTGACTCTTCTGCTGCAGATTTTATCAGAGTAATTACCCTTACACCCAGCACCAATGACACACATTCAGTCTTCTATATGATAATCATATTCCACATTTATCCAGTATGTGAATGAAAAATCACACATCGCTTTAATATCTCACTTATTTTCCCAAGACAGCAATGAGATCAAATGGAGACTTTGCATAAGTCTGCTGCTCAGAGATATACATTCTTCGAGAGCCTCTGAAGAGATCTTAACTCTCTCAAACCGTGCTCAGATCTGTGTTCTTCAACATTTCTCATTCAGTTCATACATGCATTTGGCCGATACTTCAGCTTACTTTGCTTTCAAGGTATATTTTATGACCACATTACCTGAGATATGTAACACTGCACTCTTACTTTTTATGAACAATTGCCTCACTTGTGTCTTTTTTATTTTTATAAACCAGAGATAAACTTAAGATACTAGAGATAAACTTGATAATTGCAAAGCAGCATTTCTAAGAATCTAAATCAAATCTGAGCTATGAAAGTGCAATAAAATATTCCTCTCAACAACCTGGAGCTCAACACGTTCAAAACTGTGGAGATGACCGTGGACTTCAGGAGAAACCCCCCCTGCACTCCCCCCACTCACCATCATGGACAGCACTGTGACTGCAGTGGAGTCATTCAGGTTCCTGGGCACCACAATCTCTCAGGACCTCGTATGTGTAAACATACCTGGCAATAAAAGCTCATTCTCTGTGTAAACACAAAACAAACATCCCAAAAGGTAAATAAGCAAAATGACAAAACACAATCAGATTTCTGATGTTGCTTTGATGTGTTTGTGTTTAACATTGTTGTATGCAATCAAAGATACATTGAAGTGAGTACGTTTTTTTCAAAACTAATGGTGTGTTTGTTGCCATGGAGATGGCTTGCCGTTAAAGGCTTCATTCTGAGAAATGTTCGCTTCTGGTCCAGCTGTGGGTGTGAATTCATGTTAGAGTGCTCATTAGTGAGGATGACGAGGGAGCGGAACTCACTTGGCCTGTACGCTTATAAGACGTCTCAGCAATTATATGCACATTTATTGCATTTAACAGTAGCTGTGCCATTGGCCGATACCATGCTATTTTATTAGCTACTTCTAGTTGTGGTGCATGAATATTCTGTATTATAAAACTGATAGATCTGGCTGTTTTTTGCTAGATATTAGACAGCCTACGCTCAGCTCACATCACAATAGAGCATAACAGTGAGAGACAACTTGTTTTGGTTCAAAATTTCTTAAAGAAAAATACCAAACCATCTCTTAAGATGAATCACAACATTACAACCTTTAATTTGAAGTAAAAAAAGTAAGGTAATGATCCACGGTCACATACACACTGTAAAATGTCAAGAGTGACAACCACATTTAAATACTGCAGTGACCCTGCTGAAAAAAAAGCTGACATACAGCATTAAAGTTATTTAAAATATAATGTGATGAGATTTTGCTCTCAGCCAAAACTATTTGCTCTGGAATAAATAATAGATTAATGAGACCAATGACTCAAATGACCCAAAACGAATTATATCTCATTTTTAAACATAAAATTTCACATTGATGAGAGATTCATACGAAGAGAAGGGAGTAAAAGAAACACAGCAAAGAAGAGGCAGGAGATATAGATTGGTTTAAATTAATACTGAAAAGCAGTAAACAACAAGACTGAGTTGGGAAACAGAGAACAAATAATGCAGCAGAGAAAGACAGAATGTTTAAGAAAATCTCTTTTTATTGTATTTTAGTGCTAATTTTAATTTACTGGCATAAAATATGGTATGAACTTACAAAAAAGTTTTTTGTTTTTTTTTGTAATATCATAGGTAATTAATTAGAAACTTTGATATGTTAGTCTAAATGATGCAAAGCAATTTCAAAAGGCCCTAACTGAATATAATTTATCTCATAATTGAGTTAATTACTCAATGTATAATTGCACAGAATATTTTTGTATCCTTGTTGTGGGTCTGTTTTTAATTTATGAGCATTATAATGCCTTGTTAATTTCTGCGTTTTTGTATTTATAGTGTTTTGATTCAAATCAATTTAATCAGTATGTGTCCGACTCACTGAGAATTGCTATTAGATGATTTAGCCAATTTGTAAACAAAATTAGCCGGGTCCCACCCAGGGATCAAGGAGTGCATGCAAATGTACTTTTCTCTAAGAAATTACAGTTCAGATATGTGTTCTTTTGAGACAGACTTGATAGAAATGTGCATAATTGTGTTTGCTAATCAGAAATTAATTGGCCATTGCCATGCTATTTGTTTATCTGTTTTTTTTTTTTTATGTAATTTGATATTCATCAAAACTACATTCCAGTTCACTAATAAAAATGGATGGATCGATGAACTGATGGGTGTATTAAAGTTTTATTGGATAGATGAGTCTCCATTACCATTACCTTCTGTCCACAAAAATCTGCTTAATGTTCAGATATTCTTTCACATAAGCTATCTGATGTTTTTTTCCACATGCAATCCAATGTTTTCTTTTGTTTCCAGATAACCCCAGTCTTCAGAGCCACGTGCCCGTTACAGTGCAGGTTCTAGATGTGAACGACAATCCTCCAATGATCAACACAGAAGACGAGATCATCATCTGTGAAAGCACCAGAGCAGCACAGGCAAGTCCCATAACAGTTGAACTGTTTCTCTGTCTCGCTTTCTCTCTGACACCTTCATTCCCTGGCAGAGAAGGCGAGGGAGGCCGAGTCTCCTTAAAATGAATGTAACAACTGAAGTAATCAAACTAACTGTTGTTTTAATCAGTTTACTTACTAATGAGCATAATGTATATGCATGACATGCATAAATATGTATTTTTGTGATAAAAAATGCAAGCAGTTACTGTATTAACAAATGTTAAGTTGGGCATATGAAAGATTATAATATGGGTTTGATCAATATGGATTTACATATCAGCCCGCACAGAAAATTCCCTTACAAACCGCCAGAGTTCCCTACCATGAAGGGTGTGGAAAAAAGAGCGAGCTGAATATTTAGAGGGGCTGAAATAGAAAAATGGAAGGGGGTTATAGGAATGCTAATCATCTCTCAATGAGAATAAAAATCTGATCAACAAAGCGTGACAGCTCTGACTCACTAAAGCACACTCCTATTTTCCTACCCACACTTTTCCATTTAATTTTGAAATGCTGTTTTTCACCAGCGGCCGAAAGAAAGAGAGGGATGAGAGCGAGAGAAAATGAAGGACAGATGAGGTCAAGCCTATTTTAATATCCCCTGTGATCCAAACATAAAACAGTACATCCAATTCCAAAAATTATCTACACTACATTACGGGAGTGGCACATTAAAGTGCTTCTGTGCACTTTTCATGTGTTTTAAGTGGAGTGTGTACTTTCTGCACTACTAGAATCACCAAACTGACTTTTGAAAAAAAAAACAGATGGCCCCGCCCCTAAACTCACGTCATTGGTTGATCTGTTGTTGCCGAGTGGTCTGGTTGAAGATTCAGCTGGTTCAAAGAAACAGAGAAATGTTTTGACAGCGCCAGTTTAGACTGTTTGGCAAAATCCGTCTACCGATGTTTACTTACAGTTGATTGCATTTGAGATGGGATAAGAGAAAGTATTTTAACTTAACTGTTTTAACTCTTCTTTGTCAGTTTGATTTGATAAGTTGGCTCAGGTGTTAAAGCTGAAGCGTGTGTATGTACATGTATCTTCAGTTTCACATGTACCTTCAGAAATTATTCTAATATGCTGATTTGCTGCACAGTTATTATCAGTTATTACCGGTGCTCAATTATTAATAGTGGTTCTTATTATTATCAGTGTTTAAAACAGTTTTTGGTACTTAATAATTTTGTGAAAACTGATATATAATTTTCTATTGTAATCTATTGACATTATAAATGTTTTTACTGTCACTTTTGATAAATTTAAAGCAGTCTTGCTAAATAAAAGTTTTAATTTCTTCTTCATTTTTTAATCTTACTTTCTCACAAACTTAAAAAAAATATATAATAATAATAATAAAATAATATATCAAAAGTTACATTAAAATAATTTATAATGTTATAAAATATTTTTATTTCAAATAAACAGATTTGTAAAACTTTCTATCCATTAAAGAATCATGAAAAATCATGAATATCATGAAAAAAAATTACTGATTTCAACATCATATAATAATATGATAATAATAAGAAATGTTTCTTAAGCAGCAAATCAAAATATCAGAATAATTTCTGAAGGATCATGTGACACTGAAGATTTAAATTCAGCTTTAAGGATTATATGTTATGTTATATGTTATGTTATATGTTATGTTATGTTATGCTATGCTATGCTATGCTATGCTATGCTATACTATGCTATGCTATGCTATGCTATGCTAGGCTATGCTATGCTATGCTATGCTATGTTATGTTTACTAACCTTAGCCAATAGTGTGAGGTTTAGTGCAGGACTATCGGTTTTCAGACTAATGGCAAAAAATGAATAAAATCAATAATAAATTATACAATGATACAGATATTGATAAAACAACAACAAAATTATTCAAAAAACATTATACAAGCATTAACTTTAACAAATGGCATTGTGAATTTGTCAGCCTTTTATCATTTCTGGTTTCACACAAGCGAAAGGCAATCCAATTAAGGTCCTTCAGTCTGAACCTCTTCAGTTGGAAGGTATTGCTCTTTGCAGGGAGTAGAGCACAGGGATGTGCAACTCATAATGGACCGCACTCAAGGAATCAAATGCCCTTTGGGTTTCCAAGACAACTCAGACCAACAAACCATCTGGTTTTGACGCACAAAGCGCACAGCATCCTACAGCTGCTGAGATGCCAGCAGAGATTTCTGAAGTTCATTCTGAGATGAGGGCGAGAGGGGGGGAAACAGAAAGAATCAAGCAAAACTATGTTCTGAGCTTTTGAACCCTGCTGAATTCAACTTGTATTTAGGATATGGGTCTTCTACATGGGAAACTGGTGAAATTCATATATATATATACTGTACAATCCAGGCATCTTAACTACAGTAAAAAGACTTAAATCAGTCAAGCTTCACCAGAGAGACCCAAAAAGCTAAAGCAAATCTGAGAAAGTTCACTATGAAAAGAAAGTGTTTCTTACGTCTTTTCTTATTTTGTTTTGTTGATGGCAGGTCATTCAGACAATCACGGCTGTGGATAAAGATGATTTTGCCAATGGAAAGGGATTTTCCTTCTCTTTCCCTGGAGGAATTCCTGACAACCCCAACTTTACTATTAAAGACAATGAAGGTATGGATGTAGGATAAAAAAATAAAACATTTATTAATTCATTTATTGATTTGTTTGTTTATTGCATTTGCATTATTTACATTCAAGGAAAACCTGGAAATGTCAGGACATTCATGATTTACATGGCTTTTTTTTTATATTTGTAGTGAACATACATTTTTCTAGATATAATAACAGGTCTAAAATATTTCATCGGCAAGTTGCTCTTTGTGAGTGTAGTCTCTATTAAATAATATTTAAATATCCTTGTCTGGTAATCACAAACAACTGGAAAAGTCATTGAAATCCATTAGTACAAATGTGTGGGAATCCTAATTGGCTTGTGTTAATGTGTACGGTCTAATATTCTCTTCCATTACGACAAAAGGCACAAAGTAGCATTCAGAAGATGTTCACTATATATGTTATTTTAATGCAAGCTATAATAATTAATTCACATATATAGGATATTCAAGCTTTCTTTAAATATGTATATATTTTCAAGGGGGAAAAATTACTGCAGAAGTATTCGCGTATGATCAATAAACTTCCCGGGTTAATGTTGACCAACATTTAAGTTATAATTAAATGTCGACCGCAAGCTTAAAAGAGACGACTGATGACAGTTTAGATGCAGACAGAAGTAAAATCCCTTATGCATGAGTAATAGCTGCTGTGAAGGTAAATCAATTAACTGTAATGGCATTTCTTTCAATAATCAATATCACTATAACACTAAAGTTAGTTATTGCTCTTGCTCTGTTTTTTCCTGTTCTGTGTTTGTTTTGGGCATCTGTATGGCGTGAGAAATATTGGTTTGTTTTCATTCATTTTCATTGATAAAATCAACATGTAATCAACCTTTTCATTTTCAAACTGTTTCTGGTCGATCAGTTACCATATTTAAAACCTGCATTAACAAACCTACAGTGGTTTTTTGCCAGTTTTAGCTGGTCTTCCAGTCTGGTCAAGCTTAATAAAAGTGCCCAAAACCCCTCTAAACTAGCCAACAGACCAGCTAAGACCAGAAAGCCAGTTTATGCTAATTGTGTTTTACAGTATCGGTTGTTCATTTAGACCCTCCACGGAGTGGCACCTTTACTCTTCCCTGGGGCAGCATCACTTCTTGTGTGTCTGTGTAGCCTTGGGTGAACTTTAAAGTAACTAGTGAAGTTTTTGTACTCTTCCAGCCACCGCATTTCCAAAATGTAGCTCAAGCACAGTCGGCATGGTTTATTTCCCTCATCTTGTCCCTCACTGTCGAAGAGCCCCAGTATTCCTTTTGAGGGATTATGGGTCTAACCTCGCACAGAGGTTCAGTCCCTGTTGCTGTCGAATGAATTACCAGCTCCCTAAACTCCTGAACCGACGGCCTTAATGCAATACTCACACAGATGTCTGTGGGCTGGAGGTTACCATGGAGACCGCTCTTATCCGAAGTGTGCTGCTCCCGGGGCCAAATCTGGACCCCGAAATCAATAAGGGATTTGAAAAAAGGATGGGGAATAAAGGGATAGAAATCAGTTTCTGATGGATACTTTATTAAGTTTTAATTTCATATTTATTTTAATTAGGTTTGTCAATTTAATTAATAAGAGCAGGCAAAATTCATAAATTCAAAATCAGCTTGTTTGCAGACAGATTACAAGAACACATCCAGATAGACTTGATTACAAAATGGACTGAAATGAAACATTATATCAAATAACACACGAATATATTGACTTTTAAAGCTGTTTATGTCCATTCAAAGAGTGTAGTTGCCTGCCGAAATAATATCTTAATTTGGGGACTTTTCTTAGCATACATTGATATACACAGTCAATTAATTTAATCATCATAGCATTTAATTAATTGGATGCATTTTTAAATTTTAATCTACCTGATCTTTTAAGAAATGATGGATCGTTTAAGGGGTAGAAAGTGATAATGTAATGTGATTTTAGGAAATAAAGAAGTTACAATGTTACATTTGTGATAAGAAAATTCTTGAATCATCTCTAATTAGAGTGCAAATACTTTTAAAACAAATTGCTGGTAAAGTTGTATATGTTTTATCCCATGTCTCAAGATCAGTAGGGGAAAAGCAGAAGAGAGGTAGATTAATGTTATATTGGTAGATAGAATGACTTAGCTAGTATCGTGAGTTCCACTCCTTTTCTATCGAGCCGACTGCAGTATGGAGTTTACTTCATTTATCCAAGTGGTACTCAGTGCAAGTCTCACACTCTCTGTCTACTTCTCACACGGTTTCTCGCTCTTTAATCTCTCTCCACTGGGACACGCCACTGTTTACCTCCGAATTATCAGCTCTTTCCACTGGTGGTCGATGTCGGCGTGCGATGCTCTTATTGTGAGATTGCAAGTAAGTGAAGCCCCTTTAAGGCATTCAATGAAGTTACCAAAGCACTGCAAAATAAATACAATTTCCCTCCATCTCCATTTCTGGATTTAAAGGTGCAAATTGATTTGGTACACAATGAGAGGGGGGCTAAATGGACTAAATTATTGTCTGTTCACGTTTTACTTTATGAACGCAGTCTCTGTGTGAATAACAATGCAAGACGGAGGGCCCCAGAGCACTAAGCGAGACCCTTGCACGGATGTTCAGTTTGATTATGTTCTGTAGTCAATTGCGCTTTGTAGTGGAGCCGAGGGTAATTAGAAAGGTAATATTCACGAGTGAGCTTATGAATGGCATGGTCAAAAACATGCTGAAGGCATGCGAACATAATCATTGGAATGCTAATCAGATCCACCTTTGCACACATATACATTAAAACACTATCTTAAAGGAACAGTGCACCCAAAAATTGTATTGATTGACCTATTTATTGATTGATTGATAAAATATATATATTTTTTTAAATAAGCACATCTAAATAGATAAATCAATATGTATTTATTTATTGAGGGTGAATAAATAATACTTAAAAGCGACTGATTTATTTTTATTTATTTATTTTTTATTTCTGGAGGAACTATTCCTTTAAGTTGGAATCTCTACCAAAAAAATCCCATATATATATATATATACATGTTTTTTTTACACCTCATTATTTCTCACTCCTCTCCACTTTTGATCTATTGTTAGTCGTTTCTGTTTCTCTCACTCTCTGTCTATCCCTCCTGTTTCCCATCTGTCTCTTAAAGACTCTCATCCTATTTCCATTGACTTTCTACGCCTGTATCAATAGGCCTTTAAGGAGAGGTGCTTCTCTTGTCTAACGCTGCCTTGTTTTAATATGCACTCAGCATCTGAGAAGGCTTTTCTCATATAGGGTGTCAGTCGGTCGGTGGGTGTCTGGAAAGGAAACCAGATAGACTGTAAACCAAGAAGTAACAGGAGAAAAGAGTCATTATCCAGTAATTATGATCATTATTATGATGATAAACATGCTAAGGTCACTTCCTAAGAGGAGGATGATGATGATGATAATGCAATACAGTCTGAGGATAACATAATGAGTAATAAGTGACCAGATGACCTTGATAAAACACGTGGACAGGATATATTTTCAGTATAATGCAAGTAAAGAGGTCTGGGGTGGTTCATAAGACTCATATAATAGCTTTGTGTGAGAAACAGACAGAAATATAAGTAATTTTTCTCTTATAACCTCAACATCCGGCCTAGTTGCTCTTCGTGCTTTCATAAAAGCGTAAAAGTGTGCTTTATGAATAGATCTTTATTTTGAGTTGAATCATTGCAGTGAATCAGTAGATCCGGTTCACAGACTTGAATGATTCAGATTATCAGATTATTTATGAGTAAAAACTTAAATTATTCAGTGTAATGGCTTTATTGTAGTTACTTTCTGTTAGTTTGCTTGATGTTTTTTTTTTTTTTTGTTGCAAAATATGTAAGAAGAATAGCTTAACTTTCATTGGACTACTGTGGATCGAGTAGCTTCTATTTTGTTAAACTGCAGTTTTAAAGTATCTTAAAGGGGTCATATGATGCGATTTCAATTTCTCCTTTCTCTTTGGAGTGTAACAAGCATAAAGAAGATCTGTAAAGTTGCAGTTGCCGCCGCCGCCATGACGTGAAGGTGCTGTGTGTTTCCTTGTGAAAGCAAAACTATTTTGGTTTGGCCTTCCAAAAGAGGATGATATCCGCTTCGTCATGCCTGGAGCTGATCCGTGCTGGTCGCTGAGGAA